CTACACGCACGGATGTGTTATGTCGTTGGTGTAGTCGTAGAGGTCACACAGAGCAGGTATGCTGTGCCAAGAGAAATTACATTTCTCAAAGAAATGGACAACCACAACACCTCAAGAGGCGACGGTCAAAAAGGAAATCCAAGACACCATTTGGTCATGATGCTGCTCACGACCAGCCGACTGCTGGTCAGCATGTGTCAACATATGTAAGAGAGCCTGGTCAGTTTAGCTCTACTGTTGTTGGAACTAAATCTGCGAATGTGCGATCCACAAACTCAGACGCAAATACGATTCTTAAACTTCAACCCGAAAGTGTGACTAATACAGCTGGTCATATGGACCTTCGAAATATTAGGAAGAGATCAACAGTTAATTTTTCTGACACTGTTTTACAGGATGGTTCTGTTAGTGTTGCACCAAAACCACCGGCAGTTTGCCCAGATGTTGAGAGAAGAACCGTTATCATGACCCACACAGTAACACTAAAAACAAAGACACACGTTTTTAATTCTAAGGGAGAACTTCTGAATCTGTTAGTGTTGCACCAAAACCACCGGCAGTTTGCCCAGATGTTGAGAGAAGAACCGTTATCATGACCCACACAGTAACACTAAAAACAAAGACACACGTTTTTAATTCTAAGGGAGAACTTCTGAATGTTTTTGAGAAAGCTGAAATTTTATTAAAAAATGAAAGTGATCCAATGGAAGAAGTCCATCAAACCACAGAGGATTCAATCCCTACCGTGGTTTCGCCACCACCAACTTCCAGTACAATGAGTACAGGGCACCTGAACGATATTAGCTCATCCTCACAAACAAGGACATTAAGTTCAGATTCAAAATCAGGCGTGTCCAGTTTAGATGCTATCCCATCAAGACAGGTTTCACCACAACGGCATGACACATGTGTACCTGTCATTACTGCTCCCCAACATTTATCACACGCACGAGGTAAACACGTGACCACAACGCAAGTCGTACCTCCACCAGTAGTACCTCCACCAATAGTACCTCCACCAGTAGTACCTCCACCAGTAGTACCACGCAGATCACTTAGCATCGCACATCGAGAGAAACAGAAATAAGGCAGTGGCACAAAAAGACACTAGTCCTAGTTATTGTTTATGCTAAGTGTTTTAATGTGTTTTTAAATATTCGATCGTTCTCTAAATTTTTATTACAAAGTAGTAGGCCCAGCGGGGACGCTGGGATTTAAACAGTTGGGGTGGATGTGGCAATGTGCCACTATATAAGAGAAGCCACTCTCATAGTCATAGTGTGACTGCTATGGGTAACCCCAAGCACGTACACATCCATTATCCATGGTCATTCAACGTAACACTCAGCCGTGTACTGGCCTTAAATTTTATCTAGGTTATTTACACGCGGGAATAACCATCCCTGCTCCGGGGTTGACCAATGGTCAGCTCGGACGCGGGTTCCCTGGGACTTGAGGTGTGTACATTTTTGAGATTGTAGTGTGGAACGGATGCGTCGGGTCGATGGCAGGTGTGAGAGATTTTCCTGTCGGCTCTGTCAACGCATTGTACCTTTTACATTAAAAGCTATAGTTCTCAGACCTGATTGTTTTATTGTGATTTCATTTAAACTGTAAGCTACGTCATC